ACTGTTTATTTATCTAGATAACACATCATTCCCTCAGGGCTTTTGTTCCTTATGTTTTCATATTCCAGTTAGATCTTTTATTTCCATACTGTTTTATTATGATGATACAAATAAAGATCAGAGGACATAGAGCTACTATAGCTTCTATCACTCTATGAAGTTATCATCCCATCTTTCCCATCCTGCTTTGTTTTGTTTTTCTATTTAGCAATTGAATCACCTTTTAAGTTCATTGTCATTGCAAACATTTTGCGATGGAAAGCAACAGGCCTAAAACAACTGAAGAGATGAAGACAGAAAAACAACAGATCCTTCCATATTGAAATAGACATATTTAAAAGTTTTAAAAATTCAGAAAGATACAGAAAAAAAGTTCTGGGTAGGAATTCATTAATAGTAATATCAAGATTGACCGAGTCCTCCCCCAAAGTGTGAATTTTATGGAATTCTCTACCCCAAGATATGAGTACATCCAATGGTCTGGGATGGCTTTAAATCAATGTTTCTAAACCTTGGCAACTTTAAAATAGGTGGACTTCAACTCTCAGACTTATTGAAGTTGCCAAGATTGAGAAACATCACTTTAAAGGAAGACTACATCTTTCCTTCATCTCTGTAACTCCACACAGTGATTAGCACTGATAGCAAATCAGAACAACAGAATAACAGAATTGGAAGGGACCTTGGAGGTTTTCTAGTCCAACCCCCTGCTCAGGCAGGAAACCCTATACCATTTCAGACAAATGGCTGTCCAATCTCTTCTTAAAAACCTCCAGTGATGAAGCACCCACAGCTTCTGCAGCAAGTTGTTCCACTGGTTAATTGTTCTCTCTGTCAGGAAGTTTCTCCTTAGTTCTAGGTTGCTTCTCTCCTTGATTAGTTTCCATCCCTTGCTTCTTGTTCTGCCTTCAGGTGTTTTGCAGAATAACCTGACACCCCCCCCCCTATTTTTATGGCAACCCCTGAGATATTGGAACACTATTATATCACCCCTAGTTCTTCTTTTCATTAAACTTGACATACTCAGTCCCTGGAACCATTCTTCAAGTTTTAGCCTCCAAACATCAAATGTCATCTTGAGAGACAATAATTACTCTGTATGTGGAAGAGAAACAAGGTGGAAAGCAATCAATTATTATGAGAACCTTAAGATATTCTCAGAATGATGAATGAAATGTATCTTAGACTATAAAGCATAGCAATTCCTAGCTGCTAATGTGTAACTCGGATATCAATTACATTTCTTTTGTTGGGAAGAGGGAAAAATAGCTGGTAGAACAGTGTTTCTCAACCTTGACAACTTTAAGGCATGTGGACTTCAACTCCCAGAATTCCACAGCCAGCATTGCTGGCTGTGGAATTCTGGGAGTTGAAGTCCACATGCCTTAAAATTGTCAAGGTTGGGAAACACTGTGGTAGAATATTCAGGGCTATGGATCAGTGACATTTTATATCTATTGCTGTTGGAAATTGTTTAAGGCAGAGTTTCTCAACCTTAGCAACTTTTAAGATGGGTAGACTTCAATTCCCAGAATTCTCCAGCCAGTTTTGAAATCCACCCATCTTAAAGTTGTCAAGGTTGTGAAACACTGGTTCAGGGTACACAGAGGTGTTCCTTAAACTTTTTTCTCTTGTGACGCCGTCACTTTAAAAAATTATGGAAGACCACAAAAGTGCTCCCCCCCCCATATATATCAACCTTTACTGTATTAAAAATTAATAATAACACTTTTGCTGTGCTACCATTTTTCACAACTGTTTGACAGGATTTTTAAAACTGTACTATTTTTCAATTTAGCTTGGCAAACACTGTAACAGAAACATCTGCTATTAGAAGGAAACCAAGAGGACCCAAGAGGGAGAGACAAGAACTCAGATGGTGCGATTTCAACATTTTACATGAATTTGCCCCTTTACTGGAAGTCACCTCGACCCAGTCCCCTCCCTCAATACAGGTAGTCCTCGACTTACAACAGTTCATTTGGTGACCAAAGTTACATCAGCACTGAAAAGAGTGACCTATGACCATTTTACACACGACCGTCGTAGCATTCCCCATGGTCACATGATCAAAATTGAGACTCCTGGCCACTGACTCATATTTATGACGGTTGCGGTGTCCTGGGGTTATGTGATCAGCTTTTGCGACCTCCTGACCAGCAAAGTCAATGGGGGAGCCGCTTTCACTTAACAACCGAGTTACTAACTTAACAGCTCCAGCGTTTCACTTAACAACTCTGGCAAGAAAAGGTCGTAAAACGGGGCAAAACTCACTTAACAAATGTCTCACTTAGCAACAGAAATGTTGGGCTCAATTGTGGTTGTAAGTCAAGGACTACGTGTGCAGGCTCTACAATGGCTTCTCTGGCGCAGAGAACTTTGCTCAGAGTTTCCTACAAATTGAGCCTGGCTCCTAACAACTTCATGGGTAAGAACACTGAATAGGTAAGAACACTGAACGTCCCCATTAAAGGAGAATTTACTCTTCCCAGAGTTAAACCGCTGCACTGTTGAACAAGTCTTACCAGTAAGAAGGTTTTCCAAACGTTAGCAGACATGCATTCACCCATTAGTTCCCTGGCACAATGGAGGAAATCTCTGCTTGATCTTTCACGCGCCAAACTCTTCGGGGCGAGTGTTTGTTAAACGACAGGCTGTTACCTGGTTGCTACTAGGAAGCCCAGTCATGCAACATGAATAAAGTATGCAGCCAGAGGATCTAGCTTTGCCTGGCATAAGAACACCGCTCTGGCTTGCTATAGAGTAATCCTTGACTTGACCATAATCGAGCTCAAAGTTTCCATTGTTAAGCAAGGCACTTAAGTGAATTGTGTCAGTTTCCCTTTTTTGGCCCTAGTTGTTAAGTGAATCACTGCAGTCGTTAAGCAAATCTGGCTTTGCTTGTGGGAAGCGGACTAGGAAAGGCACAAATGGGGCTCATGTGACCCGGGGACAGTGCAAGTGTCATAAATACATGCCAGGTACCGAGTGCCCAAATTTTGATCGTGGGGATGCTGCGATTGTTGTCAGTGTAAAAACCCATCATAAGTCACTTTTTTCAGTGCCACTGTAACTTCAAATGGCCACGGATGGAAACTAATCAAGGAGAGAAGCAACCTAGAATTAAGGAGAAACTTCCTGACAGTGAGAACAATTAACTAGTGGAACAACCTGCCTCCAGAAGTTGTGGATGCTCCAACACTGGAAGTCTTTAAGAAGAGCCTGGACAGCCATTTGTCCGAAATGGTATAGGGTTACCTGCCTGAGCAGGGGGTTGATGACCTCCAAGGTCCCTTCCTACTACTACTACTACTACTACTACTACTACTACTACTATTACTACTATTACTTCTTCTTCTTCTTCTTCTTCTTCTTCTTCTTCTTCTTCTTCTTCTTCTTCTTCTTCTTCTTCTTCTTCTTCTTCTTCTTCTTCTATTATTATTATTATTATTATTATTATTATTATTATTATTATTATTATTATTATTATTATATTACTAAACTAAGGGTTGTAAGTCAAGGACTACCTGCACCTTCCAAAACATAAATCTCTCAAGCATCTTTGACTATTTTCTGGCTTCCAAACTATTTGTAATCTTTTGTTTTGCCCAAACAAAAGTAACAAAGACAAAGAGAGAAATCTGATGAGCAGGAAGAGATCAGCATTTGCCAATGCATCTTGAGTGTCTACATTAATGCTTGGAAGCCTTTCAAAATAAACTGGGAACAATGAGCCAAAGGAAAAAAAAACATAAAGAGATTTTGTTGCAGGATTGGGAGACACTGTAACAATTGCACTAAGTCCACATCTGAGAAATTTCACTGACTCTATTTTTATAACTTTCGCCCCATGCGTGCAATTTATCTTCCTCCCTAAAACTTTTTGATCACATCAATCACATTGTGATACTGGCATAATCTATCTCTCTTGATCACAGGCAGGATTTAAGGGTGCTAAAGTGAGAAACAGGAATTGGGCCTGATGATTTAAATAACTGCAAGAATCAAATTAGACATTAAGATAGGGCTTCTCATTTTTTTCTCAGATGTTCCATTCAGATAGGAACCCCAGCGCGGCATAATGAATTAGAATAACAGAGTTGGAAGGGATCTTGTAGGTTATCTAGTCCAACACCCCCCCCCCCCCAGCAGTTAAGTGGTTAAGGCTTGAGACTAAAACCATGAAAATCCAGGTCCACATCTACCCTTAACAAAAATTTCCAGTCTATTTCACTGGGTTGTCATGAGGGGGGGAATGGAGAAAGGAATACCATGTAAACTCACGATAAGCACTTGGAAAGAAGTGGAACATTAATGTAATAAGCAAACAAATTAGAATTTAAATCTGATGCATGCACAACCTACAAGCCAAAATGAATTCCCGTTTAAAGTTATTTTGATTTGTGATGCCTTCAACAACCCAAGGGGTGAATGGGCCAGAAAGATGGATTCCTTTCACCTGAATTTATGAAGTAAAAGTCCACCAAGGAAACAATCCTAGATAAAACTGGACCATTTGAAGGCCTCTGCTCCATATCTCCTTATTTCTCTTTGGAAGCAATTGTTTGTCCAGTCTCACATGCCTACAAAAGCTGGAGATTTTTACAACAGAGACTCAAAACATTTTGTGGGACATTATATTACAGTAAATAATTAATATGGTAGATGTGCAATACATACGTACAGGTCTATCTATGATGCTGCACCAGGACTATTTCCTAATATACCCAAGTATATGGGTCATGTCCTTCTTCTGTTCAAAAAAAATATGGGTCACATCTGTATTAAGAGTCTCTTGGTCATTAAAACATCTACCTAGCAATTAAGCATTTTTTTTCTTTTAAAACAACTAGTAAGTTATTCATTACTCAAGAGTTTTGCCCAGGAATATCCAATCCTTAAGATCCAGGATCCCAATACTTTGTGTCTCTTCATACCATCCAGACCCACTTATTCTACCTTTCAAAGTTAGCCAATAAAACTGACATTTAAGGGCTTACCTGGAGAATGTCACACAATCCACAGTCTTAGCCAGCTTGATTGTAGCCGAATTAACAAGGCTTGGGCACCATCCCACTTTGGGGTGTACTCCTGTCATCAATAGCAAGCAGAAGTCTGATTTTGCACGTTCCCCAGCTTCTGTCTTTTCCCTTTCCAGGGGAAAACTGGCAGGTTTCCCACTTCTTTGTGCATTTGCTCGCCCATACACTCACACCCTCTCTGCTGCGGACTCTCGACTCTCTTCGGTACTAGCTTCCTCAGTGCTGTAAGCACTGTATCTCTGCTTCCTCTCTGCCAGAAGAAAAGGAACTGAGCAGGTCCAAGCATATCCCAGTTAAAGGGCCAGGACATCTGCATAACTCTGCTAACAGAGAGGACACCTAATTCTCAGCAAGGGCAAGTTTGCCTTTATCCAGATGATGAAGCACATCTGTCAGGATTAAGCCTGGAAACAGGAAGAAAGTCTTTGAAAGGCCTCTGGGCTAGAGACAAGCCTCCCCCCACCTCTCCAAATTACAGGTAGTCCTCCTTGACTTATGGCCACAATTGAGCCCAAACCTTTGGTGGCTAAGCAAGGCATTTGTTAAGTGAGTTTTGCCCCACTTTACAACCTTTCTTGCCGCAGTTGTTAAGTGAATCACCACAGTTGTTAAGTGAACCTGGCTTCCCCATTGACTTGGTTTGTCAGAAAGTCGCAAAAGGGGATCACATGACCCCAGAACACTGCAACTGTCATCGATGATTAGTCCAATGCCAAGCCTCTGAAGTCTGATCACATGACCACGGGGCTGCTACAACGGTCATGTGAAAAACAGCCGTAAGTCACTTTTTTCAGTGCTGTTGTATCTTTGAACAGTCACTAAACAACTGTTGTAAGTCAAGGACTACCTGGACGCAATTTGGACCCAAAGCTCAATTTTACCTCCAAGAAAGGCAGACTTTGTGTCTGGAATCTTTATGCTGTTTTGTTTAAAAAGATGCAAAGTTGATTTACGTTCCACCTTCCAGTGTAGTTTCTGCTAACTCAAGGAATAGCAGATAGCAATAGATCTTAGTACCAGAGAAAGGTCCAAAGTGTTAAAAAGGAGAGATTTAAACACCTCAGGTACTGTATGCCAGACATTCTCCTTTGTCCAAAAAGGAAATGAAAACATGAATCTTATTTTCAACTTTATAGACAGGAGTCCTCGGATTCCTTGTGAGGTCGATCACTTTGCTCCCCAGTAGACAGCTCAGTTTAAACAAGGGCAAATTACAATTGCAGTTGGAAGTTGGAGTCTTGCAATAACAACAACAATAATAATAATAAAGTTGGAAGGGACCTTGGAGGTCATCTAGTCCAACCCCCTGCTCAGGCAGGAAACCCTATACCATTTCAGACAAATGGCTGTCCAGTCTCTTCTTAAAAACTTCCAGTGTTGGAGCATTCACTGCTTCTGGAGGCAGGTTGTTCCGCTGGTTAATTGTTCTAACGGTCAGGAAGTTTCTCCTTTGTTCTAGGTTGCTTCTCTCCTTGGTTAGTTTCCATCCGTTGCTTCTTGTCCTGCCTTCAGGTGCTTTGGAGAATAGCATCACTCCCTCTTCTTTGGGGCAGCCCCATCCTTACAGGGTAATAAATCCTGCACATCTAATTTACTCAGGGTGATGAGTCTGTGTTTGTGTGTGTGTGTATACATATATCACATTGTGTGCTTTATAATAATTTGTTTCCTAGTAGAATTACATCAGGTTCCCCCCCCCCCCATCCAGGCTTCCTCTCCTTGAATGATGGGTGAACTAAACACTAAAAAGCTTCTGCCCCACCTGGGTAAGCATGGGCCTTCCTAACCAGACCTATTTGTGCTGCAAATCATCTGGATAACCATGAGACAGTAGGAAAGCTACAGAAAAAATGCACGTGTGGCTGCCACCTGAAGATTGCTTGGATTTTTGCAACCCAAATATAGTTGACCTGCTTAAACAGTGACGCATCCAGAACTGAAATCTCAGCTCCACCCATCCTTTATCTTGGTGACTCCACGCAGTTTCTACATCCTGGCTCCAGTCCTGGGGCTAAGCCAAGAGCAAAGTTGCCAGCATCAATAAAATACAGGAGGTAAATCACAAGAATAGCATAGTTTTTGTCAAGGAAAACAAGCCACTGCGACTGTCTTCGGCAACACGATAGCAGTGTTCCAGTATCTCAGGAGCTGTCACAAAGAAGAGGGAGTCAAGCTATTCTCCAAAGCCCCAGAAGGCAAGACAAGAAGCAATGGATGGAAACTAATCAAGGAGAGAAGCAACCTGGAACTAAGGAGGAACTTCCTGACAGTTAGAACAATTAACTAGGTTGCTTCTCTCCTTGATTAGTTTCCATCCGTTGCTTTTTGTCCTGCCTTCTGGGGCTTTGGAAAATAGCTTGACTCCCTCTTCTTTGTGGCAGCCCAAGATATTGGAACACTGCTGTCATGTCCCCCCCCCCCATCCTTCTCTTCATTAGACTAGACCAGTGGTTCTCAACCTGTGGGTTGGGACCCCATTTGGGGTCGAACTACCATTTCACGGGGGTCGCCAAACAATGCAGTCCGCCATTTTTTTCCCCTTTTCCTTAGCTGTGCTACTCCCTTTTATTCTATTGGCTTTTGAAAGCCAATAGGAATTGTCCAGGCTGTCTCTGCCCTGCTGAACCCGTCAAAAGTCCCATTCTGCAAACGGTGCTGCACCAATTGAGTAGTCCTCGATTTACGACCGGTTGGAGGTCACGGCATTAAAAAGGTTGAGAACCACTGGACTAGACATACCCAATTCCAGCAACCGTTGCTTGTATGTTTTAGCCTCCAGCTTCCTGATCATCTTTGTTATCAATAATCCTATCTCTGGCTTTGGTTCCTCTTAGCACAACCTGAAATTCCTTCTTGCAGATATAAATGGGTGGAGGCAGGACAAAAAGGAAAAAAAAAAAAAGAGAGAGAGAGAGAGAGAGAGAGAGAGAGAGAGAGAGAGAGAGAGAGAGAGAGAGAGAGAGAGAGAGAGAGTGTTCTTCACCTCCAACTGAAACTTCTGGTGCTGCTACTCTTTCCCCCTATCAAGGCAAGGCCACCTCTCAATGTTTGGAGGTTCTGCAGGTAGATCTCCACTTACAACCATAATTGTAACTGCAACTTCTCTTCCAAAGTGATGCAGTTGTTAAGTGAGTCAGACCTGATTTTTACAACTTTTTTTCTGCGGTCACTAAGCGATTCTGGTTTCTTTGCTTGTGGGAATCCCCCGAAAAGTAGCAAATGGTGATCATGTAACCCCGGGTGCTGCAATGGTCATAAATACAGGGAGTCCTTAACTGCCGACCACAATTGAGCCCAAAATTTCTGTCGCCAAGCGAGACATTTGTTAAGTGAGTTTTGCCCCGTTTTTCGACCTTTCTTGCCACAGGTGTTAAGTGAAGAACTGCAGATGCTGCAATGCTTGCAAGTGTAAAAAACAATCGTCACTTTTGTCGGTGCCATTGGAACTTCAGTCACTAAGTGAACTATTGTTAGACGAAGATTATCTCTACAGGCCAGTTGCCAAGAATTGTGCATTGTGATCGTGTGGCCGTGAAACGCCGCAAGAGTCATAAGTGCCAGGATTGGTTGCAAGTTGCTTTTTTCAAACTCGTTGTAACATCAAATGGTCATTAAATAGATGGACGTAAGTTGAGGATTACCTGTATATGGCTTGCTGCCAAAGTCTGCCCATGGCCCACTTCTATGCTGATGAACAGAAGAATGTAGGAATCTTCAGTCTTCAGAGCATAGAGACGGATGAAATGGCTAGAACACGGTTGCTGCTGGCCTATGAGCTTCCCATTGCACAATTCATTCTCTGAAATGAGGACAATTCTGCTGACTCTAGCAGAATGAGATAGATAGGAGCTCTTTGTCTGCCCACTCTGACAATACATGGTGACTGGCCCACCAGTAAACCCACCGTATCTACAATCTCATTAGAGTGGCTTGCATTAGAAAAATAACTCCCCTTGACTTATTGCACAGCAAGACTTTCAGCATCTGCTCTGATGGTGCGACTCAAGGAGGAAACTATAGATGAGATTACACAGATGTTTCTTCCTCTACCTTTCAGAAATTAATTTAAGAATTAGGTCCCACGAGACACTAACATTTTGCTCTCCTAGATGTGTGCTGTCATATATTTCTCCCTCATCAGGATATAGATTATTATTGTATTTTAGCTGATGTCAGAAAGAATAGCCAACTTTTAGAATATCCACCTCTAGTTCAGATTGACTCCTGCAGTTTACATGGAGAAGGCTAACCGCCAGTTCTCATTTCTCAGGGTAGTTTACATCCCTGGGGATTTTTGATTATCTTGCTTTCCCTTTTCCTTGCAAATGAGGGCACGTGACATATTTATGTGTGCTGTTATTGTTGCTATTATCCCATATCTTGTTCAGTAGTGTGTTGAAATCTTCTACAAAATATAGAATGCAATCAAAACTGTAAAAAAAGAGAATCTAATAAGATTACTAAGACACTTAAAAGCCCTGGATGAAGAGAGAAAGCCATATAAAAACGTATCAGGTTTACACATTTCAGGGAAATAGTCCAAATGGACAATCACTTAAATATGAGCCAGCCATGTGCTGCAGCTGCCAAAAAAGCCAATCCAGTGCTAGGCTGTATTAACAGAGGGATAGAATCAGGATCACGTGAAATGTTAATACCACTTTACAATACCTTGGTAAGGCCTCACTTGGAATACTGCATCCAGTTTTGGTTACCACAATGTAAAAAAGATGTTGAGACTCTAGAAAGAGTACAGAGAAGAGCAACAAAGATGATTAGGGGACTGGAGGCTAAAGCATATAAGGAACGGCTGCTGGAATTGGATATGTCTAGTTTAATGAAGAGAAGGACGAGGGGGGACATGATAGCAGTGTTCCAATATCTCAGGGGCTGCCCCAAAGAAGAGGGAGTCAAGCTATTCTCCAAAGCACCTGAAGGCAGGACAAGAAGCAACGGATGGAAACTAATCAAGGACAGAAGCAACCTAGAACTAAGGAGAAACTTCCTGACAGTTAGAACAATTAACCAGTGGAACAACCTGCTTCCAGAAGTGGTGAATGCTCCAACACTGGAAGTTTTTAAGAAGAGACTGGACGCCATTTGTCTGAAATGGTATAGAGTTTCCTGACTGAGCAATGGGTTGGACTAGATGACCTCCAAGGTCCCTTCCAACTTTATTATTATTATTATTATTATTATTATGGATCATCGCACAGTCAGCCAGATGTTCAGACTGGATTTGGCATTTTGTCTACCTATCGAGTCCTTACCCAGGACCTGGGATAGGCAGATGTGGATGTTTGATGGTATTACAGATATCGTCGCAGGATGGAAGCAGTTCCTAATAAGGCCGCCTTTTGCAATTGACTAATAGCGAATTTGTCAATGCCAATGGTGTTCAAGTGGTGCTCCAGTTGTTTTGGGATTGCACCCAAGGAGCCTATTACT